TATAGCGTGGTACTATAACCTAGTCCAAGTGGGATACCACGCTATAATATAATTATATTATAGCGTGGTATCCCACTGCCTGTTAAAAGTATTTTTTGATCAGACAATAATATATAACCAATTATTTTTATTATACATGATAAGTGTATTATCAACCCTTTGGAGAACAAATTTTACGAAAATAAGATAATGGTCATTCAATTCATGTTAACGATTTCTTAACTGAAGTTTGTGAATTTCTGATGAATGTAGATATCAGACAAAAATTTTGTATAAAAGCTTGTATCAATATGGATGGTGAAAGGCTGACGATTTTAGAAAATCAGAGAGCACGTTTTCAGGATGTCAGGTCTTATTTCATTTGAGTCATTCCATTTTGTTGCTAGATGCATTTATTGCTAAACACATGAATTTAAGCGCGCAAAACGTATTTGGTAAAGGAATTTCACAAGTTATAATATTTCCGTTAGATTATCATATTTCGTAATGTGCGAACAGCCAAAAGGATTAAAGCAAGCTTTTATAGAAGAGGATTATGGTTGAATGAGAGGTTAAAATTAGAAGTATGAATAACAGTCAGATTTTTCAAAAAAAAAACGATTATACTGTATATCGATAAAATGAGAGAAGTATTAAGCCCACGGAAAAAAAATAATTGAATCGTTATAGATTCGGATGGTTTCATCGTAAGATGTGTATTATTATATTATGTGCTAATATATTGATTTTCTTTCTAATAAAGTGCAATTTGCGTCAAAAAAATTTTAATCGGATCTATTAATAGTAATTTTTACAAATTTAAATTGATCTATTATTCTCTTTAATATATATCCAAAGCCCACCACAAATACAAGATCTAGTATAACTTCTTGCCCATCGTGTACGTTGTATATCAGATGTCGCTGAATAATGACCACATCTAAAAGTAATAATGATGAGGTTCGAAATTACATATAAATATGTAAAAAATACATTCATTATTCTCTCACCTTGTACATACACGATCTTTAATCGTACGTGATTTTAAAATTATATCGACAGATTCTGAAGAGATCCATTTAGTATCATAAACATATAAATTAACATTATTCTCTGTGGTGAAATTTTTTATAAATATTTGTTCCAAGTCCCGAAGAGTTCCGTGCAATGATTTTTGAAGTTTAGAATCGAAAAACATTACATATTTGGTCAATTGCGGATCTTGCGGATCTGAAAAAAAAATTAAGGACAAATACTAATTAAAAAGAATGATTCACAGTTTGTTAATATATATATATATATATATATATATTTTTTAATACCTTTCATTGATTTATCAATAATAGATCCGGCCTCATTTATAAATGATTCTAAAGATTCTAATTTAAGCGGCCAGGATTCAAATGAATACTGAAGAGTTCTATTCATATCCTGAAAATCAATGGGACTATTTATTGCTAAAGAATTAGCGTATTCCTTAAATTTCCCAACAAGAGAGAGCAAATTCTTAAAAGCCGTCCGACTTATCAAATTATAAAGAAGGATGATATGAGACTTTTCTGAAGCTAAATAAATAAATAAATAAATAAATTTACATCGCGTTTATAATTATTCCTAGTACCGTAATGAATTACAGAAAGTATATCATAACATTACATAGATCTTTCCCTGGCTTCATTGTAAAGAATAGTAAATACGTATCTTTAATAAAATAAACTGAAAAATCCATAACCCAGAAAGTGAGAGATAAAAGTGACTGAACGGAATCTAAAAATTAGTAGTTGTTAAGTTATAAACCATTTATTAATATAATAGATAGTTGCGGATGATGGGACAGATCGAATATAAATTTTACAGGTTTACCTGGAGAAAATGTACCATCAGAAGAAAAGCTATTTTGAAATATTGCTTCTAAAGCACGTAAGTGCATAAAGTATAATGTATTTAAATAAGTAATATTATCCCGTCGACAAGATTTTAATAATGATAGTTGTATTCCAAACAGCCTGCTTAGAAAATCTGAAGACGCTGTTGTTTCCAACCCATCTGGAAAAACGTTCGATAAATTTTTAAACGTTTCTTTAAGAATAAGTTGAAATACACCTAATTATTGAAAAATAATACGTTAACCCAACGCAACTTGATAAATAACATACTCAATATATATACCTCCTTGATCATCTTGATCAACTTGATCACCGGAAAATTTCTTTATTATATTCTCTAAATCCGAATGATCAATATTATTTAATATTGATAATGTCAGTTTATTTGCACAAGATGATGCAACACAAATCTGAGCTATTTAAAGAAAATTGTATTTAAGTAGATAACTGAATTAATGATTAGCATTTAAAGAAATGTATGTGGACAAATAATGTTTACCTAGCAAGTCGATGTTTTGATCCAATGCGTCAGCTATGTCCAAACAATCAAGTTTATCGGACGCTCTTCTGCAAAGAAGTAACGTTCCATTCGGTGAAGTGGCAAATTCAATGATTGCTAATTTAAATCGAAAAATCAAGTTAACAAAAAAGTTAATGATTGAAAACATGAACATGAATTTTTTACCGTCTGTACAAGCCGTATAATTTGAAGGAACCCAAGTACTGTATTTTGGAAAATTGTAATCTTGAAAATATTTTATGCTAACATGTCTTTCTCCTGGAAGAATTTTTAAAGTGTCGCTAAAGAAATAACAATTTATTAAAAAGATACGATTAAAAAAAAAAAAATTTTGATATTTTTTTTCCTAACATGAATGATACCCTTACTAGTGACGAAACTGAACTTGACCATCACTAAACCCAAGGAAGAGTTCGTTTTCTTGTATCCAAATATTTGTTACCAATTTATGATCCAATTGTTCGCAAACGATGAATCGAACATTCTTGAAAACAAAAAGAAAAAAAAAATTATATAAGATATATCATTAGAGTACGACTAATTTAATTATCAATAAAGCATACCGGTGGTGGTATATCAATTTTCATTGCAGTTTCTGAAGAATCAATTGATGTTGGTGTGGATTTATTAATTTCCCACATAGCAATGCTGCTATTGAAAACGTTAGACCCTGTGACCCGAATAAAAACATACATACGTATGTTATATATATTTTGATTAAACGTATTTATTATGAAATATTTATAAATATCGGTATAATGAGAAAAAATTACCGTGATATCACGAACGCACTATAGGTAATTTTTTTTTTCCTAATATAAATCACCAGTGAATTTGTCAACAGAAAAAAATTATTTATATTAACCTGCTTTCTCGGCTGTTATAATTATGAGTCGGATTCCATGAGATTGCGTGTTTGATATTAGTTTCAAGTGCAATACTGGAGATCGTTCAATGAATAAAGGGGGGTCACTAATTGGAGTAGCGAGATGAACATTAGCGATAGGCTGACAATCGACTTGTAAAGAAAGCATGTCAATTTTGATTTCGTAAAACATGACTAGTTTTGGCAGAAATTCAGGACTGTATGTAGCTAATATATAATTTCCATCTAAAAGAAAAAGAAAAAGAAAATGTTGTAAGCTTATGGGTATTATTTTTAAAATCCGTCGTATTGGTTGTATTGATAAATAGTTACCGCTAAGCACTATATCAGCATGTGATATTCGTTTTGAAGGATAGCGCAAGTGGGAAATAATTTTCGAAAGAAATTTCTTTCCTTTCTGGTACCAAACAGCAACCTAAATAATTAAACAAAATATAATAATCAAATCTAAACATTTGAACCTAAAAAAAAAGTTATTATTAAACATAATACACAACAAATTTTACCTTTCCATCAGTCGTGACAGTTATGAAAGCGAATTCACCAAATTGATTCCGAGGACCTTTAAATGAACCCCGTTTATAAAGTGACTCGGCTGAATGCGCTTTAGAAACACGTGAATACTATAAGACAAATAGAAATTATGAAATGAGATCGTAATACATTAATAGAATAACGCAAAATAATAATCAACTAACCAATCGTGCACTATCTAACCACGTAAATTCAATTACATTTTCTCCAAGGTTGACATTACAGATGCATTTCCATTGATTCACAAAATTATTCATGGTCCATATCGCTATTTTACCTCTTTGATCTATAGATGCTAAAGCAGAACCTGTCTGATTCCATACTAAATCTGTAATATCATCTCCGAATCTATGATGACTTTCTACACGATCAAAAGGAAATAAATTATCATGATTTGTAAAAGACCATGCGGGACCATTGACATCAAGAGAAGAAGTTCTACATGGACTGAAGGCTCCAATACTTGGAGAAAAGCGTGAAAATCTAGTATCTAAATTATTATTAGAAGGTGGTGACCATGCGATTATATTCTGTGTTGACCACGCAATTCGTCTTTCAAGTTTAAAATAAAACGATTAGCTATAAAGGAAAATTATGATTAATTATTATTCCACATTGAAATCTGTAGTTTACAAACCTTGCTGCTTTGCGGTAACATAACTCGTAATATAAACGTTCCGCATCTGTGTCCATATGTATAGAAGTGTAAGTCATCATTCTTTAAATGTTGCGAAAGATATAGGTTGGCAGTTTTTTTCAATAAAAATTTCGATTAAAATATTAACGTTGATTGGCTGAAAATTTTAATCATGACCAATTATTTTTTGGGGTACCGTATTTCATTGACATCTCCCGAGCAGTGATATCAGTCACTGGTCATTTCCGGAATCAGGGGGGTCAAATGGATTTACTAATTAAATATGCAGCTTGTCGATCACT